CGTTCTCCTCCAGTTGCCGCCATACTGTCAGTTCAATCTCCATTGTAGGAGCGATCAAGAAGAGTCTTGATATCAGTCTTTGGAGAAAGGCTGATAAGAAGTAGTGCTCACTGCCTCCATCGAATTCTTGCTGAAGAATTCGGTTCGTTGGACGAACCCAGCTGATTCTGCTCCACCATATGCTGTGTCATCTTCAGGGGGAGCAGTCTTTGGTGTTTTTCTTTGGGCGTGAACACCTTCATTGGGAGATACTGCATCTTCGTATCAGGTGTATCCCTCTCCTACTGAATTTATTCAGATTTGGTTCGGTTCTTGGTTCAAGATTGATCCTTGAAAAGCAGTTTTCTAAAACAGGGAATGTGATTCCCAGATGGGAGAGAGAAAATTTTTGAAATTTCACCCTACCTTCCTGTAGGGTTCGGCCATCCATATGATGGATCTCTCATTCCTTCAGTGGTATCAGAGCCAGGTTCAAATCTTGAACCGAAATTGACTTGATCTGAACCTGCGCTAAATGGGCAGAAGGCGTTCTACCCGATTTGCGCAGATTAGGGTTTTTCTGGGAAATCGGTTCCCAGTTAAATATAGAATGATCTGAAGTTAATTTTTATAAATTTGGAATTTATTTAGAACTGTTCTTTATTATTTTCTTGATTTATGGGCAGTTCGTACAACTGGAGATCGAAATCTTGATTGACGTAGTGAACCTGCGATTTGTAGTTTCTTTTTACATTCTAGTCTGTAATTAATCTTTTTTTTTATTTTCTAGACTGAATGTATAGGATTCGATCTGATGTAATATTAATAGAAAAACTAGGGTTTTCTATTTTGTTTTATTCATGATCGAAGTTGGCGGCGCAAAGGAGGAGATTTCGCAGATATGAAAATCGCTATCTGCGATTTGCAGTTTATGAAACTACAAACTGAGATATGAAATTTGTTTTGCAGGATGGAATTGTGCAAACAGCCCTATGACTGATTCTTGAATTAAATCTTTAATTAAAAATCAAACCCTAGACCCATTCGAACCAGATTGGACCAAACTGGTTGGACCGAA